TTGTTTGTATAGTCACACTCTGTCATTCTCTTTAGCTGTCCGCTCCCTTCTCTCTCTCTTTTCCCTTCGATAATTATGCCCCTGCGCTGTCAAAGCTGCTCATGCTGTGCCCAAATTCACCTCCATGGGTGTATTATTAGGACAGTGGCCACCTGAGCTATCTTTCACCCCCAGGGAGGCTGACTGACGATGGCCCACTGCTGGATGTGGGTGGCCCTTTTGCGCAGCCTTGAAGTCCCGCTGCTGGGCAGGGCAAGCCAGCCGGGCCTGGCATGGCTACACTGGGCAGGGAGTATGAAGTATGGCCATAGGCCCAGTCTGGGATGCACTGATCCACGCTACCAGCTGCCATCTTCCTCCCCTTCCTGCATGCTCCCTTTCCGCTGCTGCGCGGCTTCTCTCTCTTATCATGTCTATTTTTAGAGCTGGCAGATTTCTACCTTCTAAAATGGGCAAATGTGTTTTGAAACAGGAAGGTGTGTGTGCGTCTGTGCGCGCATGTTTTTTGTGTGTGTCTTTCTTAGACATACTAGTGTGCACTGTTGGCCAACTCGTGCACGTTTCATGCAGCCCTGCTGGTTCACTGTACATTCCAGTACACATGCACGCTACCCATTTGCATTCAGCTGCTCTATGTTCTCCGCCCCGAGGGAGAGCGTTGATTGAAGGTTTTGGTTCAAAACCGAGAGACAAAATAACAAACAACAGTACGGTGAGACCTCTTTGAATGCTACATTGTTTTTTAATATATATCAACACCGTGTGCATTTAGTGTTGATTTCATCTATCTGCTTAGCTAAGCTTGGATCATTATTACTTCTTCTTCATTATTACCTATCCACCAGTACACCGTGCTGCCTCAAATCTCCTTAGACCATCGCCCCTCGACTGCAAGCTACAACTCCATAGCAGCTGCCGTACAGAGAAGCTACAAAGAGACTACTGAAGCTCCTAACACAGCACTAGTGACAGTAGCATCTTTGTCAAAGTACTTGGAAGCCCGTCATGTTGAAAGAAGCCAACATGCTGGCCTGTTTGGCGAAGGAGAAAGGATGCTGCATTCCCAGGGAACAAGAGAGATAAATAGAGTAGAAAAAATGCATCCCTGTGGAGATGGAGGGAGCAAAAAAAAACTACTGTAAACCAATGTGAGCGGGAGGGGGTGGACGGAGCTACAGCATGCCTCCACATCAAAACCCCAAAAGTAAATTCTCCCCCAGCTTTTGTTCTTTTACTACGACTGCTACATAGCAGTCGTAGAGTGAGAGAAGTGGAGGGGGGAAAAATTATTTTACATCTTCCGCAGTATGTCTGTAGTCTTATTAAGAGTGAGCTAGTGATGGGTCGTTCGCGAACGAAATGGCTCTTGGAGCCGGTTCTTTGACGTGAACGACGCGAGCCGGCTCCTTATCGCGAGCCATCACGTGTTTTGTTTTTGTTTTTTTTTTCCTTTCTCTCAGCCTCTCTCTCGCACTTTTTTTCCGCTTCACTCTGCACGCGAGCCTTGTGCTTTACGCTGGGCAGAGGGGGAAGGGGCGGTAATTAAACTCAGTAGCACAGGAACAGAGCCAGAGAGAGAGAAAGAGAGGCAGGGACAACAACATTAGAAAGGTATAGTAATCATCCACAACTATTTTCGGTTGCAGATGATAAAGGATTGAGAAAGTTTATTCATGCAGGTCCATATGACAGAGAATATGCATGTTCTTTTAGTTTTCATATTATAATTTATATTTAATTGTGTTGTGGTTTGCAGGTGTTCTTTTCACTTTAAATTTGTGAAAGGAAAAAGCTGAAAATTTTAATAGTTAAAACTTGAAATGTGAATAGTTGATTTTTGTATTATATGATTTATTTATTACATTTTATGTGGAGTGAATAAATAAAAGTATATTTACAGTGGCCCCTAGAGACAAAGCACATACAAACTTCAAATCACGTACGAACTCTGAAGCATGTACAAACTCCAAAACACGTAAAAACACGTAAAAACTCCAAAGCACGTAAAAACACGTACAAACTCCGAAGCACGTAAAAACTCAGAAGCACATAAAAACTCAAAACACGTACAAAAGACAACAGAAGTGCTCCAGGATGCTGGGCGCAGTGTTGAGCCTTTGTTATCTTGTGGCTACACAAGCCAGCAAGTACCAACGACCGGATTTGCCCATACAGAAAAGAAATAGTAAAAACTTATATGTGATTACTCATGAAAGTGGCCACTTTCGCATTACTTTCATACATTGTTTTAGTAAGTATCCAAAACATACAAGTTTCATTATATAATTTTTCAAGGGATCTTATATCTGTTTTCACACTTATATGCTTTTCATACAAGTTTCACACAAGACAGATACAAACTTCCTAAGATTTATATATATCTTTTCCATATGGGTGGTGTGTGGTAATAACAGGTAAATGAACTTTTTTTTAAATTATTTGAATATATATATGAGTGCCTGTGTATAAATACACAAACAATACACACATGCTTTCAATTGTGTAATTTAAGTGATCTAGTAGCTCTGCTTTGGAAGTTCAGTTCATGCTAGAAATGTGTTTTGGAGTTTGTACGTGTTTTGTCTCTAGGGGCCACCGCATATATTTATATATAAACATATATAAATAAAACCACTTGTTTTTACGTTAGTAATTCCTTTTGTGCATAATTTTATATTATTGTTAATAATAAATTAATTAAAGCAACAAAACAACCTGAAGAGCCGGCTCTTTTTAGTGAGCCGAACCGAAAGAGCCGGATCTCTAAAAAGAGCCGGAAATCCCATCACTAGAGTGAGCAGCTCTGCGCTTTGGGTGATGCTTTTTCTTTTTTTTTTCCAGAGTGCCCTGACTTTCTCTTGACTTGTGGGACTGCTGAATGAGTGAATGTAAATGTACACCAATTAGATAAGAAACTGGCTTTTCTGTAAAGCTGCCAAATCTGGAAGGGTGGGAGGGGAGAAAGAGGAAGAGGAAGAGGGGGAAGAAAAATATAGCACTTGCTTGAAAATAAATGATCTGTATCCTAATATCACTCAACCAATACCTGTTTGGCATGTGCAGCAGAAAGAAGCACAATATGATATCCCCGTGTTGGTGCTGTTCCTGGATTATTAAAATTAAGGTTCAGCATTGCAAGCGACCAATCACATTGTTGTGATGTCATTGTTTTGTGATGTGGAAACACCATCACGCCAGACCCTAACCCCTTAACTAAAGCCCTGTAAGCCTAACCCTAACCACGATCGCATCCTGACCTCAGTGCTCAGTGATTCTGTAGCGAAAATGAACAGATTTCATGGGTCATTACAAATCAGAATGAGGACTTAAAGTGATGACAAGAATATAGTCACGGTACAGAATTAAACCCGCTGTTCTGACATCCCTTGCTTCTTAAGTAAACTTTTATCTGACAGCTTCCCCACTCACTAAATCCCCATCTAATGCACTTAGAGGGGAGCGCTGCTTCTAAATCCCCCCACAACCACCGACGACCTGAGAAGAACAAGAACTTTCTGCTCTAAAGACCCAATCCGATGTGAAACTGCTGACTAAGGCCAGACTCCTTCCTGTCCTGCCCTCCATTCCTCTTTCTCTTTCTGTCTCATCTACCAAGCAACACCACTCTGGATCCCCGAGAACGAGAGACACGGGCCAGTCCTTGTAAGGAAGCCCATTAAGGCGTCCATCAATATTTCATCATTGCTCACTCAGAAACATAGTTATAGAAGTTTCCAGGCTGAGGCCATTAGGGGGCAGACGTCAATACGTTATGGCAGCGAGCAGTTCTCCTGACTTCTCTCTTTCCCCCCCCCGCCACACTCTTTCCACTAGCTATGTCCATCTCCCCTCTCAGGATAAGTCACATGAGAGGCTTCTCTCAAGACAACAGTGGTTTCCGCTGTTAAACAAATCATTAACCATTAGGTATCCGAAAACCACAGTATCCTCTGCTGCTCCTGTCAAATGACCCCTCCACCCCCCAAATGCCAGCCTATGTGGGAGGAAGGGAGGCAGACAAGAGTGGAGGGCTGTTTGCAAAATCGTCTTAACAACTAACAAGTCTCCAGTCACTCAGAATATAAACACCTAATTAACAGCATGACATGATTTTATAATGTGTTGTCGGCCGACCAACGCTCTGCGGAGACACTTGTTGTGAGATTGACTCAGGGCTGTTGAGACGGGTCTGGCACCCCCGGTACTGGCCCTGCCAGTGAGTGGACACTCAGCGACAGCAGGGCTGATCATCAAGAGGGTGAACTTGTCTCACACACGCACTCAATACACACACACACACACACACACACACACACACACAGACATACATACACGTGCTGTGAGTCAAATCATGAGTCAAACCTCAGATATAAAACTTTCCACGGAAGAGGCGGGAGGAAGCTTAATTTCATTCGTACGATTTTATAACCCTTATTTCTAATTATTACACCTACATTAGTTGGGAGTAGCCTCCAGGCTAAAGTGTGTTAAATACTGCTGTAGCAGACATTTTAACGAGTTTTCCTGCAGCTCACCCTTTAGTGTCCTTGGAACTAAGGTCCCAGTGTATGCATTTTACCACAGGAAATGCGAGCCCCTCTAGAAGCCCTAAATTAAACCGGACACCAGGCTGGCAAGTCCATACTAATGTAAACAACACCTTTAGGTCAGTCCCCAGTCATTGCACTTGTGTCGTTCCTTTCGGGTCCCTGGGGCTTTTACAGTGTGAATCCTGCTCTGACCTTAGTTAGAAATGCCTGTCATTACTCTTTTACGCTTCAGCCCTGTGAGCTGGTGATTTCCAAACTAATAGTTTCAACTTTTATTTCAACACTTTTAGGTGCATTTCATTCAAGACCAAGGCTACTGTGCATGTGGCCCATGTGTTCCTGGTCACTATTTTTTTTACCACTTTGAAACATTATTATTACGATATCCTACATTTTAAAGTCACTAATAAAAGTGAAACATATATGATACAAGCCCTGACATGGACTCACCAGAGTGCAGAACCTCTCCGGTGGCCTTCCACATGTGATCCCAGGCGGATCCACCTTGATCCGCATAAAGTCTTTCATGGACCTAGGTTTTGGCTGGCAGGCGTAATGCTCCCACACCGAGCCCTCGTCCGTGCTCACCAGGGATTTGCACAGTTCGTACTGGCCCAGAGTGGAGGCCAAGCAGCGCAGCAGCAGCAGCAACACAGCCTGAAGGAGCATGGCAGGCTGGGGGGGTATTTGGAGAGGGGTCCGGCACAGGGTGAGGGGGCCACGGAGCTCAGAGGACAGGTTACGAGCATGGAGCGATAATCATAGGGAACGAGTGCACATCCCTACCACCATACTGCTGTGTTTGGAATGGAGAGGTCAGGGTAAATTGACATCACCTGCCTCCAGGTTTATTAATTCCCCAAAACGAAACACTGAATCGGCAGCTTTCTCTCAGCGTTTCTCGTCAGTTATTGGCAGCCCCAAAGAGGAAAGGAAAGCAGGACACTTCACTGTTTTGATGGCTGATTTCCTGAGGAAGATGGGCAGTGGGCGTGGGGGTGGATAATGTTACGGAGAGGAGTCTCGGCATGCACTCTAACCATAGTGTTGCAGGGAGTTGGGTGGGAGATGTTTGCACGGATCCATGTCTCACAGAGCGGTGTCCTTCAGGGAAACGGCGGAGCTAGTTGGAGAGGATGGAGGAGAAGTTGATGCGTCTCCAGATGTATCCATTGGACATTTCAGATTTGTTGAGCTCTTCCGATTGTCCTGGAGGTGAAATGGGGGGCATAAATAATAGGTTAATACCTGTGTCCGCAATTTTTCGCATTCTTAATTTCACTGCAAATAAATACACGTGGCATTTGACAGGACTATGCTCGATAAAACTTAAGTGCCCGTCTTCGAAATGTCATTTTTATAGTAACGTTGAGCTTTTAATTCGCGGTGTCAGATTAAAAATGCAACAAATCCCACTGATTTACTCTGGAAAACATCACAACTGCCCCCAAACTATGAAAACATTTAAAGTGAATATATGCCACGAACAGTTAGTTACAAGGAGTTTGTTTTACATACAGCCAGAATATCTGAGTGTTAAAATAAAAGAAAGAACAGAAAAAAAACGCCACACCGCGTGGATAACCTTATGCGTAAAAACACGTGCTGCTGCCGGGTGCCGCCTGTGCGGGTGTGTTTTTTTGTATGTGTGTAAGAGTTGTTTTTGCTCCAATACCGGCGACAGAGAGTGGACTATACAGATGGTAATAACTGCACTGCAAGAAATATCCGTCGGCAAGAGGTATTTAATAGCCCAATATAATCTGTTTACTTTATGACCCGGCAAATGGTGCAAAAAATAAAGAGTGACTCATCCACAGTCTAGTTCAAGAACGTTCTTCAGCGTAGTGTCATTTCATTTATACTTCATCAACCTCGGGCCTATCCAAAATTCAGCTTTGCTTCAGCACATCAGTAACTGGTGTGATAATAAAGTTCCGGAGAAACAAACTGCTAATTGAGTTATTCGCTAATATAAATAAATAAACTAATATTATTTGTATTAACTATGTTTCCATTTTAGGCCGAGTAAATGAATAGCTACTCATGATGATTTCCCCCCCCTTTTTGCAGCGTGGACTCACTGCTTATAATCCGCCCGTCATCCCACACCAAAGGAAGTCTGGTGCTTAAACAGCCTATCCCATGCACACCCGGTGACTTACTTCACTTGTCAAGTGAAGTCGCCAAAGCTGTTTCCCGGCCCGGCACTGGCAGTCTCGCAGGGGTGTGTCAGTTTCTACAGTAGTGCATCCTTCCGTGGAGCATCACTCCAATTTTACATATATATGTATGTGTGCGGGCTATAATGCACGCTCAAGAATGAATGCATCAGCGCGTTTGTCTAAAGCAGAATGAATTATGCTGCCAGTCCCCCCGAACATCCTGAAGTGCTCCGGATATTGTGGAGGCTACAACTCATCAGCAGCTCTCCGGTGCTTGTCTGACTTCGCAGAGCTTTCGCAACAAACGCATCCCGCTGTGAAATGCTTTAATCAGATAAAACACTTACTTCTGACATGCATCTGTCGGGCAGGTCAGCACTTTGCTCGGAGTGCGTGCACGTCCACCCCCCCTGTTTGGCCAAAAAAAAAAAAAAAAAAAATCCCCTTTACCATCCAGTGTACTCGTCCCCCGCCGCGGTCCTCACTGTACTCCCGTTATCAGCCGGCTCGCTGTTTGTTTGGTTTCTTTTTCTGTTTTATTTCTTTTTTTCCCCTTTTTTTGCCGTCCGACGGATACTTTTTGATCACAGCGTAGATGGCTGCGCACGGTAGATCGGTGTCCTAGATCTGGAAACGGCTGCGAAAACAGGACTGAAATCCAGCGTCAAGGAGTATCAAAAGTATAAAATATTGAGTTTGTGAAAAAAAGGCTTGTGCCCGCCCTTCTTCCCCTCCTCTCCACTTCCTTTTCCCACTTTTACAAAGCTCGGGTTTACCCGGGATGCTCAAGGGCAGAAAGAAAGAGAGGAGGAAAAAAAAGGCTTTATGGAAAATATCTCCCTCCCTCCTCTCTCTCTCTCTCCCTCTCTCTCCCTCGGTTAATGCCTGGGCTAAATCCTTTTACCATCACTTTCAATCACTATCTGAGCTTTTATCTGCTCCAGCCCTGCTGCCTGAACCGGGGCGGTGCAACTTCTCCTATCCGCTCCAGCTCCAAACTGTTCCCCGTCAGCTCTGATCAGCACTCCGCTCGGCTTTAAAGGAGCAGCCGGAGAGAGAGGTGGGGGTCCCGGTGGTACCGTAGCCTTTACCTCCGACCTTATCCGTCCAGATTTGTGAAGATAACGTCATCTATTCTTCTGCCCGCGCTGTTTATCAGTTTATTCAAAATAATCTCCCCCTTCCCTTCAAAAATAGGTATTCCCGCAGTACTCCTGACGGGACTTGTAGTGCCGGAGAACGTTGTGACCCTATCCCACTTTGTTGAATTATTTATCATTATTCCTGAACCGCAAAATCGCCTTAAATTTACTTGTGAGGTTCAGTAACAGCAATTTTAATTTTAATGTTTTGCAAAGATATTAGGATGACTTTTGCATGTGTCTGCAGTAACTGCAGCATGTGGTGCCTGTGTGCACTGCATCGAAGTACTTTGATAAACGTGAGGTACATGTAGTTAGTTTCCTTACACTGCTGCGCGTGTGTGCGCGCCCGCGCAGTGATGTGTAGTGCTTTTGTCCTGTCCATGGTCCTACTGTGAAACAGACTCTTTAACTTTTCAAGCAGTGAATGTGTTTTTTTGACTCAAGGTTGTGTGACTTTCACCTGATGTATGCTGTTAGACTTGAGTCAATCAACAGTATAGAAAAAAAAACACATCAGTACAGAAACAAAACGAATCCAGTTCTCATAATCATAACTGTGCACCCACTTACACAGCATGGCATCCATTAAAGGAGCAATGTGGTTTTTTTTTCTTCAAAGCAGTTTAAAACATTTGAAAGTTGACTAAAAAAAATATCATCAGAATGTGAAGAACAACTATGGTGCTACACTAATTATCAAAAGTATTTCCTTGTTTTTTCTAAACACCAAGTCTCTGTGGCTTTTAAACCCCAAAACACGCTGCGCCAAAAATCGGTCCACCCCAAGGATCGGGTCCTCCGACACAAACAGAGTAACATAGTGTACGCTGTTAAGTGCCAGGAGGATTGCCAGGATTTATACATCGGGGAAACCAAACAACCTCTGGCGAAACGGACGGCACAACACAGAAGAGCCACCTCATCAGGCCAGGACTGCAGTCTATTTACACCTACAGGCCAGTGGACACTCTTTCAAGGATGAGGATGTACAAATCCTGGACAGGGAGGAACGCTGGTTTGAGCGCGGAGTCAAGGAAGTCATTTATGTGAAAAGGGAAAGACCATCTCTGAATCGAGGAGGGGCTTTGATCAGTCATTATGCAAATGTACTGTTTATAAGATTGGGGAAACCTGCAGTCAGCTGAGACTGAAGAAGTCACTTGGATGAGTGACGAAACGTTTCTCCCACAAAACGCTACGTCCAGATGAACAGAATCAACTTTCTGGAGATTTACTTTCCTGGATGATTGAGAATGCATCAAGACATCATTACAAAGGCGTTTTATCGGGTTGTGGTCAGGACTTTTTTTTGTTGTTGACCTAATTTTGAGCGTGCTTCTCTTATTAAAAACGTGTTATTCCTAGGCAGTGTTGGTCAAGTTACTTGAAAAAAGTAATCAGTAACTAATTACTGATTACTCCCCCAAAAAAGTAATCCCGTTACTTTACTGATTACTTATTTTCAAAAGTAATTAATTACTTAGTTACTTAGTTACTTAGTTACTTTTTAAAAACACGATTTACAACCTGAAGAGGTGATAAAGTGATAGATCTTTCAGCCCAATTCTACTTTTTCTACATAATCCATCATACAAAATGTAATCAAATGGAAAAGTCTCTTTTTCTAACTTGTTTTATCAGTTTTAATCTTTTAACTTTATGCATCAAGCAAAACATTTAATTATATGCAACATTTTCTGACTTGAATAAATTAGTTTAACATTTAAACCTATTTTCTACACATTCCAGCACATAAAATAAAATATTTTTTGTGTTTTCACTCACTCTTTCAAACAGATGCAAGTAAAACACAGCAGAAAATAAATAAAGTCAAAGACTCAGCGGTCCTTTTGCTCTATTTTCACCTGTAAAGCAGGAGCAGGGTAGGCGGAGGGTTACCCTGGTGCAGGTGTGCTGCGGTCAGTTGAAGAATCCGCGTGAGTGTCTCTATGAGTTTCCCATCACGTCGTAGCTACTCGGTGCTTGCTCGGAAGTTTAGGGGTTTTTTTCGCTGTAAAAAGAAGTTTTCTTCCCACGCACGATGGACGCTAATGTTTTTGTCACTTTTTATGGAATCAAACTCAAAGTAAGGTCAGTACTTCCACACTTTAAACGCTGCACGCTCATACTCTCTCCCGCACTCGATATATTATCCATTGTTGATCTGCACACAGCTGCTGTCACCAACGTCGCACTTGCTTACGTCACTGTCATGAGACATTCTCGCAAAAAAAATCACGGTTTTAGTAACGCAGTAACGCAGCGTTCCTACGGGAAAGTAACGGTAATCTAATTACCGATTTTGCAATAGTAATCCCTTACTTTACTCGTTACTTGAAAAAAGTAATCAGATTACAGTAACGCGTTACAAGTAACGCGTTACTGCCCATCTCTGTTCCTAGGTTACAAAATCTGTCATCTTCAGGGTTAGACATAAACAACTTGCTTATCAGTGAAAGCGATTATCAGCTTCTCCTGCTAGCGCTGATTGCCAAGCTCAGAATGTTTATATCTTGGCAAGATGTGAAAGTTCAAGAGTGGTCACACCCAGCATCAGTAGTTTATTTATTTTTTATTCAAGTGGGTTTACAGGTCAGAAACACTCTGACCGTGGATAGCAGAAGTGCAACCAAAAGCCTCTGACTTTAAGAAAGTTGAAACTGGACTGGGAGATTAGGCCAAAAAATGTCAAGAGCAGTGAAACTTGGGGAGCTGGTGTGTAACAGAGGCAAATACTGTGATGTGACATATTCAAATCTCAAACAGAGACACTGCTGTTGGGACAGGTTTGCTGTGGTGCCATTTTTAGCTCACGTAGCATTTCTCCATATTTTACACAGCACAGCAGTGCCAAATGTAGCAAAACAGAACCCTCCACTAGGGTGATTTAGTGACTTTTCTTTGGTCTTATTCCACTCAGTGTTGTTTGATAGATCGGGATGTACCTCATAATTCATTCTAACATATGCAAACGGTTTATTTGGCATAAGCCTAAAGGTCCGTGCATCTGGAAACCACAAACATCAACGTGATATCATGATATAATGTTTTAGATCCACACATTTAAACTTCTTGTGTGATGCATTGGAGGTAATGTCTTGATGCATGCTCAATCATGACTGCAGGTTTCCCCAATCTTATAAACAGTACATTTGCATAATGAGTGAAACCAGCCCACTGAAGGAACAATGGGCTGGGAGGTCAGATCCTTAATCTTAATTATGCAAATTCTCATGACCATTGATCAAAGCCCACTGATCACTGGCCATGAGTACCATTCACAGAGAGCTGGGGAATGGCAGCTATCACAGCATTGTAAGATGGTGACAGATGTACCCTTAGGCCCCCTCCTCGATCCAGAGATGGTCTTTCCCTTTTCACGTAAATGGCCTCCTTGACTCCACGCTCAAACCAGCGTTCCTCCCTGTCCAGGATGTGTTCATCCTCATCCTTGAAAGAGTGTCCACTGGCCTGTAGGTGTAAACAGACTGCAGAGTCCTGGTCTGATGAGGTGGCTCTTCTGTGTTGTGCCATCCATTTAGCCAGAGGTTGTTTGGTTTCCCCGATGTATAAATCCTGGCAATCCTCCTGGCACTTAACAGCGTACACTATGTTACTCTGTTTGTGTCGGGGGACCCGATCCTTGGGGTGGACCAGTTTTTGGCGCAGCCTGTTTTGAAGCCACAGAGACCCGGTGTTTAGAAAAAATGCATCTCAAATGCTCCGATACTCCTGACACGTACGGGATCACTACAGGTTTTCGCTTAGGCAGCGGTTGTCCTTCTCTCCTGGATCGGCTGGAGCTTTCTTTTGGTCACCACATTTACTCTGGGCCTTCTTGATGTGCTGTTCTTCTGCCTCCCTGGCCGCTGTGTCAGTGGGGATGGTGTTCGCTCTGTGTTGTAGCGTCCTGATGACACCCAGTTATGCAAATGTACTCTTTATAAGGTTGGGGGAAACCTGCAGTCAGCTGAGACTGAAGAAGTCACTTGGATGAGTGAAGAAACGTTTCTCCCACAAAACGCTACGTCCAGATGAACAGAATCAACTTTTGGAGCCATACAATAATCACTTGTTATAGTACTCAGGTTACTTCTTTGTTTTTTGTTAATTGTGCACTTTGTTATGATTAACATTACCATTGTTTAGAAACTATACTTAAAAACTATACTTAAAAATCTTACTGTCATGCTTCTGAAGCAAATACAACTGTCAGGCAAGCAGCAACCTCCAGGGCTGCAAAATGAGAGCCAACCCAGAAGTGCCAAAAACTTTAGTTCCTCTAGTGGACACTTGGGGCTAGCTCCATGATAAGATGCCCAACTTTATAGCATTAAACGCTTGTTTACTAGATACTAAAATGTTCTTGGCCTTAATGGGTAAGTCCCCAACCTTCATGACAACTCCTCAGCGGGTGAGAAGTTGTCATGCTCCAGTATTCTTTCACCTGAATGCTGGATTTTGGGAATAGCAGATGAAATCCGCTTATTGGAGCAACCAGTATATTTATTTTTGGTGTCTTTCCAAGCATTTTAATGGGCGTTTCTGGCAAATATTATGGCTTGCTTTACACAAAAGTTTGTGCATTTAGTTTTGGTGGATGAAAATCTAGTGATTTTATTAGTCTGTTTACTTGTGCGGATGCAGCTTGCTAACAGAGCTTGCTAACCTCCAAAAAACAATAATGTCTAACTGAAAAAAGGCAACACTGTGACAGCCAAAACACTAAACTAAACACTACATTGAACCTTGAAAATGCAGGTACCTAAGTCAACGGGCTATGTCACGGTGGCTAAACATCTGCCTTCTTTTATGTCAGTGCACTTATGTAGCTCAGTTTGGGGAGACGGCAGAATTAGCATCAGTTTGATTTTGTGGATGTAAAGAACAACGACAATAACAGTGAAATGTAACTGGTGCCAACTACTGGTGGTCCATTCCGTGCAAAATAATCATTTTAACTGATGAGCAAAAAGATTTTTTTTTTAAAGTGTCCTTTTTTGACTTTC